CCACCCCCCCAAAAGAGGAACAACATCAGCCCGCCAGGGGGTTCGCATGCACCGTCACACGATCGATCCTCACGTCCCCCCTGGCAAGCGGCCTCGCCTTGCGGTCCACCTCTTCGGCCTCGAGCCGGGCCAGCGTCGCCATGGCCTCGTCGCCAATGACCCTCCCAAAGACGGTATTCAGGCCATCCAGGTGCGGGGCCTTGTCGAGCGTCACGAAGAACTGCGACCCGTTGGTGCCGGGCCCCTTGTTGGCCATGCTCACCGTGCCGCGCTGCGCGTGCCGCAGCGACGGCCGGATCTCGTCCTCGAACCCCGCGTTCCAGATCGACCGCCCGCCCTTGGGGTTGTCGGGCGTCGGGTGCGCCGGCGCGCCCGTCTGCAGGATGAACTTGGGGATGAGGCGGTGGAAGGGCGACCCGTCGTAGTAGCCCGATGCGCAGAGGGCCAGGAAGTTCTGTCGCCGAGTCAGCATGTGCCCTTGTTTTGCCCCCGGGAAGGGAAAAGGGGGGGAGGGGAACGGGGACGGGACGTACTTCTGCGGTTTTGGGGACGCTCTCGCAAAAGACTTCGATTTTGATGTCGCCGTGGCTGGTGTGTAGTGTGACGGACATGGCTGCGACACAGAGGCTTGAGCGAGAGAGGTGGAATGGAGAGAAGGAGGTGGGACGTGGTGATGATTTGAAGGTTATTTTCTACGGTGGGGGAATTTTTTGATTTTTTTTTTCAAAACTTGGTTGTCAGGTCTGACGTATCCGGCACCACTGGAGGCGCCGCCTGTTATAGTAAAAATCATCCTCCTCTAAAATTCTTGGTATATAATCAAGTATAAAAAATACACTACTTTACTACACTCTCTAAGCATATTTTACTTCAATATACTCCAAACATTACCTAGGTGTATGCTCGACGCGGTATGCTGTATCAAGTACCTAGGTACTTAAGTAGTTAGGTATTAATCACTTTAAGGAACTAGTGGCATATGACTTGATCAGAGCTTAAGCAATGGCCAATGATAATGTATGCTGAACCTGCCAAACAAACCTCAATGAGATCTGGCTTAGCTCCACCCCGCCACCCCACCACATTCAGCACGGGCGTCACATTCCATCCATGTTCTAGACATTGGGTAATCCTAGAATACCGATGCATGAATGGGCTTACATGGCATGATAATTCTCAAACAAAAATAAGTCCAGTTTTAGTATTCTGGCTCATCGCTTAAATGAATCATATGTATACATGAAACAAGCATATGAAATGCTTTTTAAAAAAAGCATCACATCCTTATGACTGCCCCATGTCGCCAAACGCCATTTCCATGTCTTTGTCATTAAAGGAGACCTGAAGCTCACTCCTATTCGCCATACCAGTCATTCATTTGTAAAACAAACGCCTAATTCAGGGTATACCTTTGTCCTCGAAATGCCCAAGAACAATGCCCGACCATCCACCCACAGCGTCGTTGCCATGTCCACCCGATGTGCACCTCGAATCTCGCAGATCGCCGCGGCGCATGCTGCATTTTCACGCATTCGTATGTGCCTCTATTCAGTACTGTTGATGGCTGTTACACATAAACCGCCCAGTACTGGCATCGAGGTTGCGAGACAAAGATGTTTGGGCAGTGGCCAATCATGATCGGAACAGGCAGTCGATATGCCTGTCTGGTTGCAAAGACGCTTGCTTCACAGGTCCTAGGTCCTGCCCAAGACGCTTAATCGATAAACGGCTTCTTCTGTCCTCCAACAAGACACAAACCCAGAGCCCGCAATGAGTCCCGGTCATTAGCCAAAATAATAGTTCGAGCAGGCAACATCGGGTTATTGGGATCGACATGAGCCGCGTCCTTTGCTGCTTGTTCTATTGCGTCCAGTCCTTCCTGGCAGGCTTGCTGGTCAAGCGGGCATATAACGATGGGTTGTCTGAGGTTGACGTCGCGAGCACCACTCAACTGGACCTATTCGATAGTCAGCGGAAGCTACTCTACAAGTGTGCAATGCAAATCTCCACAAACCTTGATGCTCAAATAAAACTCAATCTTGTAGAGTGATGCCGTAGTGGTAAAGGATGAAACCTCGTACAAGGGGAATGCTGGCTTGCCTCTCCTCACAATACCATCGGGATCTCTCAAGTCTTTGCGCGGGAACACGAGTCCGATATTGGTGGCGTATCCGGCCTCGGGGACCTTCATCTTGACCGTTTGCGGCTGCTTGGACAATTTGTTGACCTTCTTTACTGGCTCATCTCCTTCGTGGTTATATGTAACTTCCTCCTCGATTGCAAGGGTAATCTTTTCTATGCTAACCCTTTTTGCTTTGGTCAACCAGTCCGGGTTGGGCGACAGCTTGATGTACACGGTGATGGGGTCGCCGGGGCCGTAACTCCATCGCGGTAGGTTGATGCCCAGATGAACCACATTATCTGATGTGACGAGCTTTGTTTCTGGCTTATTGTACATGCCAAATGTAGAAAGGGTGTCGAATCGCTGTAACGGTACCGGAAAGTTGTATTTGTATTGGTTGCTATGGCCTTGCTGTACGGTGACAACAAGCTCGTAATATGTCTCGGCCGTCCTGCTTGGGAGCTGCAGAGACGCGGGGGGGATTCTCCGGTTTGTTTCTTCTCCGCCACGTCCAAAAGGAATAAACAGCACAAACGGTAAGTCCATGGCGATGACGCTTTCGGCCTCCTTTCCAGTTGCGCAACGGAATAGCAGGACTTCCTTGCCAACAACATCCGTCGTCTCTTTTCGCGGGGTGCCGAGATGGCGTTTCGTCAAACTATCGGCATCGGGGTGGATTGTTTCCCGTCGTTGTAAGCATATTCGGACTAACGATACGGGTACGGGCATAGAATAGCCCTGCCCCGGTCGAATCTCGACTTTGCCTTCTATTCGGGGCTGCGACACAGGTTAGTAAGCAGATGAGGAGACAGTCGGGACGGCTTGTAGCAAGACAGAGAGCAGCTGGGCATGATTTTGTGTTTTGATATACCACGGGGCGAGGCGGAGGCATTCGTAGCTGGCGTAAAGGGAGAACAAGAAAAGGTCCCAGGACGGTAACTCACCAAGGTGGCTGAGATGCCAGGGTAGCCGATGAGAAAGCTGCTATTTGGGGGCCCGGAGACCCTGACGCTGGCTGGCGCCGAGGCCATGATGTCGCTGATGCTCCCGCCACCAGCGAGCTATCGGTGGCGGCGAACGAGGATAGCGACGATGTTGGCGACTGTGACAGGGGGATGTGGGCGTCAACAATGATTGAAGCTGTCATGAAGAACACGATGTCGGATTCGGGCGTAGGTTGAACGCGGTGTGCGGCGACGAGGACGAGGCCCCGGATCTGAATACACAACAAGGTGCCAGGATGCTGGCGTTTCTGACATGGAGGCTGCGGAAGGCGGCTCTGCGTCGCGGTCAGCTCGAGAATGGGCAAGTGGGGTAGCAGCACTTGAGCAGCACCACAGCGCCGGTGCAGCGCCAACCTTTGTGTTTTCAAATGTTGTCGAGGTACGGAGTACCAGGTACCAACCAGCACCTGCCGATGCAGTGACGGAACATGGAGGACACAGACTGAGGACGCAGTCTTTGTCGGTCAACCTTAAAGAGTGGTCGAGTGCAGGTGCGATGCCCAAGTGGGCACCCTAAAACAAAAGGGGCAGGACCAGGCAGCGGGAAGGACCGACTGATGCTGCTTGATGGCTCGTGTGCTCGTATGCTCGTGTGCTCGTGTGCTCCATCGTGAGGGCGACGAGACAATTCAAGTGTGCGGCCACGCGAATTCGCAAGCGAATGACAGATGTCAGCCAGGGTATATGCCCCGTGCTTTCTGCAGACAAGTCTGGGGAACATGACAACTCGCCGCCAGTGATACTGTCCCATGCATGTTCTTGCAAGCTGATTCGGAAGGACTTGGGACCATCAGCCAGAATCTGCATTGTTTTCTCGCTTGATTGGTGGGTGATGATGAAGCATTGTTACAGACTACTACCAAGGTGGTTCTTCATGGTCAATGCCAAACAAAACACGATTGTTTTTGGTTTGTTTGTTTTATATTTTGCAGACTCCTGGGCGTAGGTAGTACTTCGCACGCCATGATAGCCAAGAACAGCATTAGTTGATGAAAAAATAAGTGGCTCTATACAGGGCAGCAACCCGACCAACAAACAAACACGTTGGGTCGGTCCGAATGTCATTCAGTTGTAGTCGTGACATCCGCTCGCTTGGTCAGTCTCGACGGAGGCAGCGCATTGCATCATATATCTACCCATGCACCTTCGCGCGCGGTCCCTGGTTCTAGTGACAACCAGCTATCGCAAGGCGGGTCCTAAATTATCACAGGCTGTTAAAAGTCTAATATATTGAAGAAAAATTCTGATGAGCTATCTCGTCGTAGCGGATGAGGTGAGTGATGGTCACTAAAACACCACTTGCGCCTCCCAGGTAGCTACGGAGTACCGTGTACTCAATTCACATAACCCTCAAAAAAATAAAGAAGGAAAAAGGCAAAGAGATCACATGCACACAAAATATCTGAGCAATTCAGAAAAAAATTATCATAGTGCGAGCCGTAGGGATCGAACCTACGCGGGCAATGCCCATTGCGGTTCAAGCGTATGCCATTGTAGGCATGTCCTAAACACAACGCCTTAACCACTCGGCCAGACTCGCAAGCGTCAGGTGACTGATTTCTCGATAGTTGACATTATACAGTTTCTGCATTGAAATGCCATACGACATCTCGGGCTGGACCCACCAAACTTCGTGCAATATCAGTCAAGTTTGACTTCACATCAATGGCAGCGAGTTGTCTACTCGACTTAATCCTGCTGCCCGTGTGAACCTATTATTGTTGTTGCTTTGAGATATTCCCCTTAATTTATCTTGCATCATACCCTACTATTACTTTGTCTACAATCAGGACCCCACAGGGAAAGACCGAACCGTCAAACCCTATTTTATTTTGCTTATTGTGTTCAACCCATTCACTCACCGTCTTCATCGCTTCACAGTGAACTGGACCCTCACATCGCAAACACCACTCAACCCCATTAGAAATCACATCACACCCAAAATACCGCCGTGCCCAAATTTTCACAACCATGGCCTTTGACGACGACGACAATCCTGCCGCTGAGCCATCCGCGCAAACTCCAGATGGGGGCCCAACCGCCGAAGACGCCCTTGAAGACGGCATTCCGGATTACAAGCTCTTCTCGGCCATGTTTAGCAAAAAAAAAGTCTCCAGTAAAGTCATACGCAAGGGGGAAAAGGACTTTGAATCCCACGGCACCCAAGCGCAGGACAATACCCTCGAGGCAAGCAGGCAGGCACTCGAAGAAGTCCTAAGCTACACCCGCATCCACCGCCCCGAAAACTGGATCCGAGCCTGGTATTTCCCAGACTGGTGGACTCAACAGCGGCCAGAAGGCAGTCGGGACGATGCCCTGCTGCACGAGCGCGTGGTGGCCGTGGAACAGGAGCGCGGGAGCTGGATGAGAGACATTGGACGGGTTGTTTCCGGAAGCAAAGACCAGCCCGGGGTCGGCCGGCTCTGGCTGCTCCCTGAGGAGGCGTTGTACTTGATCGAGCGGGGGAACGTGGACATCTGGTGGCCCGACAAGGAATTCGGAGAGCTTCTCCCACCCGGCGTTGGCAACGGGCCCGGCAGGAACCAGTTTGGCCCAGATGACTACGACGCCGGGGTGCCGCTGACCGTGGAAGCAGCGTATGCAATGATGGTGGGCTATGAAAGCGAGCGCGGCAAGACGACGTTGCCCAAATACCAAGTATATACGCACCTCAAACGAGCCGGATTCAACGTCATGCGCGCACCGATGCATGCTCCTCCCCCCGAACCACCCGCGCCGTCGTCATCATTGCAGTCACTATGGCAGTGGCTCTTCTCCTTCGTCAGCCGAGAAGGCAAATCGCAGCGTGGACCCTACGGCCCCCTCGTGTCGCCAGGGCTATACAGAGCATACCGCCCCATCTATCAACAACTTGCCGTCATCCCACGGCACAAGCCCTCCGCACACCCGGAAGTACACCACCCCGTCCAGGAGCCCTTCCGGGTTCATTTCCACGTCTGGAAACCCGCGGGCGTCCCCTTCTCCAAGAAAAACCCGCCGCCGCCTGATTTCCGCATTGCGGTTGCAGATACAGCAGACTCCAAACTACCTACCCTAGAGCAGATTGAGGCGCTGCTGGAATCGACACCGCTGGATTTGCCAAACCCGGAGTGGCAAGGGCCGGGAAAGCTATATCAACGACTAAAACACGGTCACCGAAATGTTCTCGTGGCAGTGGTGGATAGGGGATTGGTGAATTTTATAAGATTCGGAGAGGCGGCTTTTGGGGCAGAACGGCTCTTTGAGAGGTTCGATTCACGAGGCAGCGGCGCAAGAGGCGGGAAGAAGGGCGGCCGCGGCCGTGGACGTGGCAGAGGCAGAGGCAGAGGCAGGGGACGGGCGACAAGGTAACAGTGGCGTGAGGTTGAGAGACTACAGAAGTTGTAGGATGTAGTTGAGCGATCCAACAGGGTAAATGCATCACGAAGCGACGTGTTGAGTTTCCTCCAATGAACCCATGTTGTGGCAGCGATTACGCCAGTGCCAGGCTCAACCGACCAACCGTCATATCGAAAGATGTATCCTGAAACAGTCATACTTGGGCGCCTTGGCAGGATGCTTGACATCATGGAAGTTGGTAGTTGCGTGTTGGTTCCGGCATCCTTACTGCGTTGACCCTCCCTGTTTCATGGGAAGCAAACGCCCTGGGCGTTGTTCAGTGAAAGGGAGTTGATGGTGCCCAGGGTTCCTGCTGGTTTGGCTACCACTCTGCCTCGAAATCAGAGATGCTCTCCTCCCATGTTCGTCGTCGTTGGTTGGGCTTATGGTGACGAGTTTTCTTCAATGCATGCAGCTATGAGGCGCTGTGTGCGAAAAAATTTTGAAATGTGCATGGCGGTTGGAAAGTACTATGAGGGCAGTGGCATATCAGATGGGGGAGTTCATATTGCCGAGGTCAAAACTGGCTTGTTAGTTTCATTGTCCCACGGTTGGCCACCAGAGTATGGAATGGCAACTCGGTCTACCCAGACAAAGGGTATTTTGGAAACTAGCTATTCTAAGATTGACATTGGTGTTTTGAAATGCCGCATTGTAGATGTGCAAGATTGTATGATGTGCGGTATGGTTGGAATAATGCCCTGTTCAACTTTCCTACCAGGAGGACAAAGGCTTTCCCGTCAGGATCCTGGTGTTAAGGGAGCCATCGGCAACACATTCTATTAGTGGGAGTGATAATCAGTCCTCCGTACGGGTGAAGCCAGTGAGCGCCGGTCTGAGATGAGCCAGCCAGCCCAATTATGACATGGGCTTCGGTAGTTGCTGCGATATTTCGCGCAAACGCGACAGCTAGAATAAAGGCAGCACCCTTGCAGTAGAGCCTAATCGCGCCAGTACCGATCTTGACTTGACACTTGATTAAATGATGGTCTGGTGGCGTTGGTCGACCCTTGCACAATGTAAGATGCCAGGAGAGTGTGGAAGTTGATAAGAACGAAACACGAAGAAACGCGCTCAAGAACCCAAGTTGTTAAAAACATGGCTCTGAAGCAGAGGCTTTTGGATATCATCTTTACGACATCGCTTTATTACGCTCCCGTTTTGTGCATCCCTGTAAATTATTGCTCGTCGAGAGACCAACATGTCAGCGTACAAAGTGCAATCCAGTGCATCAAAGAGGATCCAATAAAGTCAAGTTTCCGCTCAGCTTCAAAGTCTTGACGTCTCGACGCGCAACGGAGGGAATGAAACCACGAATTGTGTCATTCGAAGTGCAATTGTCTCGTGGTGTGTCCTCATTCCAAGATGGGTTTTATTTCAAATGAGTTTTGGTACACTATTCAATGTGTCTTTTTTTCCCCTTCTCCTTACGCACACGAATGTAATGCCTAACCACTCGGCCAAAGCGTCTCAGTGGTCCATTGCGTCGTTATCGTGCCTTGTCGGTGACGACGTGAACCTGACGATTTGAGTCATAGTGCTCTGTACCCGGTTCTTCATGTACGAATTGCAGCTTGTCAAAACTTTGAGGATGGGCTATAGACCAGCGGTGGACGCGCACCAATAGTCATCAGAAATGTGGCGCCACAGATTCAAAATGGTCAAGACAAGCTTACATCGTGTGCGTATCGGGCACTCATGCACTAGCGCCTGGTCATGGAAATGATATTCCTCATGTCATGTCGTGAGATCTAGTTGTTTTCCCAATATCGGCTTTAGCTGCGCCACGACGACGACGGCCCACGTAGCCAGTATTTGTAGCCCATGCATCTTGACGGGTGCAGGGATTAACTCGAGTTGAGCTGTCTTCACGGTCCGGACGTACATGTTTGTTGCTGACGTGGTTAGTATCTCTCCCTTTATTAGGAACCGAGCTGGCGTCACTAGATGGCGTCGGCCTTCTTGTTGCTAGGCTGCATCATGTCAAACACTCTTCGCATACCATCGCGTAGCGGTGGCCTACCGACTTGTTATTACCCGTCGTAACTCTCGCAGTTGAACAACAACTCTAGCATGCATGATTCATCTCCAGCCCCGGGGGGAATAGTCATGTACACTGGGAGACAAGAAGGACTTCAGCCACCAAGTCAAAGTGGTGATGCAAGATGGTGCCAGAGCAAGTTTCGCCCATACACCCACAGGCTAGTTATTACCCAATAGCCCGGGGTGTTTGGTTAACCAATGCATTGCGTGAGGTGAGAAGACAGTCGAAAGGTTGATGAGGGTCGTGTCAAGGGTCGAGAGGTCTTCACACTTCACACTGTCCGGCGGTATACTCTAAGTGGGGCAACAGGAAGGCACTTGTTGAGCAATTGGGATTCAACGCCGGCCAATGAGGGCAAACGTGTCTCAAGACTGCAGGGAAGGAACGTTGGGCAAAGAGCTGTGGGCAAGGAGGAATATTACATGTACCGTATTGCGGAGTACCTTGACTTGACAATCCAATCTATACAGTCTCCCCTTCTCTAGGAGCATTTGAGGTAACATGGACTCCCTCCATGGTCTAACATGACAACTCGACTTTACAAGTCCAACGTCATCATCCTCGTCCAAGGCGCACGGTCGGCATCGCCCTCCATGGAAACACGAGAAATGCCTAGTTGAGCACAGTCCATGTTGGCAAATACCTCGTCGCTACCGTGAGAAACTTACTCGCGCAAGATTAACCACCACCCTTGCTCAACCCCCCCCTGTATGCAATCCATTCACACGGCAGCATCTGGTCAGCGATCCCCTCTTTCTCTCTCTTTTATTGCATCAACCGCCGCGGAGCCAAGCAAAAACAGGTGCTGCTTGCACTGTCGCATTATGCTAATGTCACGCTGCATTACAAGTTGCAACTGTAAAACACCACACGCGGCGGTCCGAGGGGAAAGCCCTAGAGGGCTAAGGGAGAAGAAAACAGTCGGCGACCAGTTATTTACCACGTCCACGCACCTAAGGCCAGCAACGGAAACATCGGGACTGACGCGGAATTGTTGGTGTGCAACACACATGCACCATGCACTCTTCATAATACGCCGTTGCTCATTCGTATGTTGGCTCGCCGTCTCTGTGCTCCTGGCAACACGGGGAGGAAATGGGGTGACCCCATACGCAACACAATATGGCTTTATCGTGTAGCTCATGTATGGTTTGGTGACGCCCCCTCGGCTTTGTTAGCCAGCTGGGCCGTAGCGAGACTTTGTCATTGTGGTATTTTAGGGTCTGCGTCGACAAAACGAAAAAAAAAAAGGAGG